ATAAAATGATGTGCCACCTATAAGGTCATGTGAGACTGAACAGAAGTGTCCATGCACTCCTGTCTATAATAAGACTGACGTGTGTCACGTGACTTTACTACCTTCAGCGCGCACTTCTCTCCTGTCTTCTTGTTGAAGCACTCCAGAACTTTTCCATTGATCCCCAAACCCAGAACCTGACTGGAGATCTTGTACTGATCAGTCACCGCGTTGCGTTTTATTTCCAGTTTGGGATAAACGGGCAGGGGGAAGTGTGCGGAGCCCGTGTCCGTCATGGTCTTCCTGTCCTCGGCTGGGGGGACGGGCTGCTGCCGGTTCTGGTTGTCAGCCTGAGACACCGGCTCGGACTCAATAGTTTTTGCCGCCGGCTGCGGGTTTTCTCTCCCGGTCCCATTCTGAAGCATCTTCACACCGACCTGTTGTCCCCGGCGGTGCTCAGAAAGTTACACACTCCAGCTGCGTCCAGGTCCAGATGTTTAACCGCACATCTGCTCGTCCGGACCAGGAACAACTCCAAACAAATCCACAGTGTTATCAATCGCAGCTTGTTACTGGTTATTTAGAGTTCATTAACTTTGTCAGCTTTAGCGCTCAGAGCTGGTTCCGAACAGAGCGAACATTAAAGACCTGTGGGTTCTGTTGGACCCGGCTGTTCTCCGCTCCGGTCTGGTTCACATGGCAGCGCTGTGTCACTGTTTGTTTAAGCACCGCCCTGCTCCTCCTGTCATGCTTCCTCACTGACCTGAGCAGCGAGGTGGCCTAAGGAACAAACCGGAAACTCAGCTCGTTTTCAGTCAGCCCTGAGGCGGAACACGCAACCAAAGGCAAGAGTGGAAAACATTAGTAACTTAAAAGAAAGATATAAGAAGAAAAGGTGCCGCCAGGGGGCTCAAATGGCACTTTTAACAAAGCAGAAATGCACTGGACTGGTCACTGACCGCGCTATGCAAGATTCATTGCCGCCATCTTTTTAGGTGCTAAGTTAATCACTGTCAATATAAAACGTGGGCAATGTGTGGCCCGAGGGCCAAAAGTGAACCCTAGACAATATCTATACAGCTCACAA